ACCAAAAGGAACTGTATTTATGTTATGTTTGTTTTTTTTAGTTTTATATTTTTGTACCAGAATGGAAAGAATAAAAAATTGTATATCATTTTGTGTTCGTTCATTTGATGCTTTTTTAATTTAATATTTTTAAGCGCGGTTTTTAAATCACAATGGTGAACTGCAGGTTTATCTTGTAGTTAAAAAAGTAGTTGCACATTTAACTACTAACTACTTGGTAGTTAGTATTCTAACTACTTTTTTGATAAAGTAGTTAACTACCAAGTAGTTAAACTACTTCTTTGATAAAGTAGTTAGTAGTTATATTCCACTACTTTTTTCAAGTAGTTAGCCCAGCTCTGCCCAGTACACACCCCTGACAACTCATACCCAGTACAATGGGTACCCAGGACTATTCATACCCCATGATAACTCATACCCTGTACTATTCATGTGGGCATCATCTCGGGACACGTTTGTCCGCACCCGAGGGAATAACTACCGCATTATATACTCCATAATATACCCCTTTGGATCCTCAAGGTTTATTTATATTGAACATGTCGAAGAACTGTTCAGTTTCATCCCCTCATTATTTTATAATGAAAATTTGGATCAACAGTTAAACTGTGAAATGCGGTAGATATTCCCTCGGGTGCTGCCAAACGTGTCCCGAGATGATGCCCACATGTGTAAAATTTCCCGGGTATGGCGCACCCTATGTAAGAATTATCGTCGGTAAGAATAGTGCTGGGTATGAGTTATCATGGGGTATGAATAGTCCTGGGTACCAATTGTACTGGGTATGAGTTGTCCTGGGCATGAGTTGTCCTGGGTATGAGTTGTCCTGGGTATGTGGTGTCCGGGTATGAGTCGTCCGGGTATGAGTTGTCCGGGTATGAAACGTCCCTACCCGTATTTTATAATGTGGATATAACGACGTGAAGTCCTCCGCAATTATCTCGTACATACGGCTAACGTCCAAAGAGTGCCGAAATACACGGTGCGAGCATATAAGGATCTATTATACAGTAAGATGTACTAAAAAACGGAGGTATTGGCACTCCATTTTTCTTACGTAACTACCTCCCAAACGGTCGAAATGTTTTTTACGAAGCTGCAGAATTAGATGATTTATGAAGAAATTACCGTTTTATTGATCACGAATTAGCACAAAGTTATAAAAACAAGCACAACTATTACATCAAATTTAATATTTGATGCAAAACTTTGTCATTTCCCAAAGAATAAGCATATTATACGTCAAATGTATTTTATTTAATATCGTTCATATTAAACCCTAACACTGCTTAATCTCGAATCATACCGGTGGTGGTTTGCAATTTCAGGTTTCATCAATTACGTTACATTACAAATGTTAGCGAAGTAGAACGCATATATAGTTTAGGTACCTTTATGGCGTATACGTCTTTCTTTAACGATCACACGTGTTGGCTCTGAAAAGAGCCCTTTTTTTATGACGGCATAAAAATCCACCTCCTATTGCCTGCGATTGCCGTTCAACGTAAGGAGCACCTTGAATTGTAAATCGTAGGCGTAATAACGTTCTCGTCGTTGAAAGAAGTGAGGCTCCTCTTCGACTCCGTGCGGCGCGTCAAAATTCCAATAGACGTACAAGTCCTTGATTTTTCGCATCTTAGGAGCGGTGCAGTTGGGGTTTATTCTCAAAGCAGAACATAACACGTCGGGGTGAATTCCGTTTTGAAATCCGAACGCAGCGATATAGACGCGATCCCTGTAATTAATCGGGCCGCTGTACATCTTTGCTCTCAACAAACGCGCGACATTCGGATGGGCGCTGTTGATCATGTCGCAAACGAAATTCCAATCCAATACGACCTCTCTGGAAGGCATGATGACGACGTCTGCACAGTAGCTAGGGTATTGGGTTGTCTTGGGTAAATAATACACTATATACTCACCATTATACGTAGGTGTCTCTCATTAGTCCGGTAGTATTTCGATCAGATACATTTGTTTTATAGAAGTAGCCAAGTCGGCAAAGATAACTTAACGCGACTACACGGGGCGCCGCCGTAGCAAAAACAGAACAACGATTCATTGTGCTAATGTGCTTACAAAAGCCCACATTGTGAAACAAAATCGTACATTGCAAAACTGTTACTTTGTCCTGTAAAGAATAATGAACCACGGAATCACATGATATAATGACCATACATTCCCGTAAGAGTCGCGCGGGCCACACTATTTATGGACAATATTGAAGAAAAAGAGGGGATCGTCGATATACGTTGCCCAACTCAAAACGTTGTCGCCCCACCGGCCAGTTATCCACAAATATATTATTATAGTGGAATAAGTTAAATTCTAGCCGATTAAGGTTGCCCCGTACAAATTTTCAAAGTTGCTTTTTACCCCCTTACAACCGAAAAAAAAGGGTCATAGGAAAAGCATTATATACCTTCCCTTATTTCTTGCAAGGGAAAACATAGACACTTACGTTTGCATCTGTCTTAAAAAAAAGTGTTGAGAGCATACCTTCCCCTTCTCGCAAGGGAAAACGTAGACACTTACGTTTACATTTGTCTTGGAAAAGTATTGAGAGCATATACCTACCTCTTCCCCTTTTCGCAACCCTACAATAAACAAAATAAATTTTCCGTTCTCCGTAAACATTATACACAATATAAGTGAGACACACTAACGTAATCGTATCTTTTTTAGATAAAATACTAAGCGACTCTTCTCCCAAAAGATTACACAAAAAGTTGATAAAATGGTAAAGCTAAATTGCGAGCATAAAAAAAAACCATAACCTTACGAAAATTTTGACATAAGTCGTTTCTTTGTCGAAAAAAAGTTACAAAGTACTCGTGCTACCAACGAGTCACTAAGGGTGCCTCGATTGACACCCTGTATGTTGCTGAATGTAAAGCAATATTTAGTAGTATATGTGTAAAAACTTTACTGTTTTTTGTATGCATTTTTTTAGACTGTAACATGTGATATCAAGAGTTCCTAAGTTTGTGTTCTTTATTTTTATAATATTTCTATACAATATAGCATACTGTTGTGTTTCTTTTAAACAATGAAATTGATTAACTAGTAAACAATTAAGTGAACTTAAATTTCACTGCCATATTGTTAATGGTAGGTATTAGAATAAAGATGCTGCTATAAACATTTGCTGTTATGTTATATCGTTGATGTTATATGATTATCCTTCTGAAAATTTTGATTACAAGTGATATTTCTAAGGAATTTTAGGTTGAGATTCACTTTTTCCCAAAAACTTAAATTCTACAATTCTTACATTCTTAACTTTACAGGTTCTCCAAATCTTCAAATTCCCAAATCCTAACCTTGTCAAATTCTCAATTTCTCGAGTTCTCAAATTCATAAATTTTGTGTGTCAAGATGACACACATCAAATTTTCAAGTATTTTTTTTTCTCTATGTAAAATATAAAAACTAAAGTAATGGCAGTATTTAAAGATTCCCCGAGATCGTTTTATATCAATAATCATTTTGGTCCTGGGACTACAACTACAAGTAATGGTAATGGAAACAACGGCCATTATGAAAGTTTAGGTGATACCAATTTTAAATGTTGTAACGTACTCACGCACAAGGGTAACCTTATGTGAGGTTGTTGTACTTATTTGTATATAATTGTATTGTCTTACAAATAAACTATACTATACTAAATGAACTGTATATGTGCTAGTGTTATAATTTTCTAAGCAACAATATTAAAAATCGTCTTGTGTCAGTTAGAAGAAACAACGTCTGTTAAGGCGAGGCTTTCCATAGACTACTTGATTATGTAAAAAATTTCAGTTTTTTGCAAGAATTTTAGAATATACAACGAATTTTCAAAAACTGAAAAGTAAAAGATCTAGAGAAATATATTTTACATTATATAAAGCAAACATTTTACAGAAATATTTATCCGAAATTAAATAATTAGGGAAATAGATTTAATTTAGTATTTCATGGTTTATTTGAATTTGGATAAATATTTCTGTAAAATGTTTGCTTTATATAATGTTAAATATTTTTCTTTGGTGCCATCTACATTCCTTAATGAAGATTATTCCGTATGATAGAAACATGATCCAATTGTACTCAGAGAATTGCTGTTAAATTATATTGACATTTTGAATATGATGCTGTTACTGATTTTAAAATTCACTTGAAACTTTAATGACTCAGACTTATTGATTTTAAATTTTACTGACACTTGCATAATTATTGTCCAATTGTAATGAGACTCAGAGAATTGTTTTGAGTGAAGCTAGATTTATAGGTCCGTAACAAGAATGCAATTGGATCCTAGTGGATTGACAAAAAAGTACAATTGGTTAATAATTTTTTACCTTTATCATATTTCTCAATACAATGGAGAAAATGTATGACCAACTATTTTTTTTTCAGCCGACTAGGATCCAATTGCATTCTTATGTAATTGCTGCATTACTGAACTATAATTTCAATTCTCGTATTAATTTCTAACGACTCACATTATAAATAATCATTTTGAATAACTGTAGTAATTTCTATGGACTCTCAATAACATTCAAATTAATTTAATAGCTTAGCCTTACGTGATTATTAATGCGAGTAAGAAATAAGAAAAGAGCAAGAGTAAACTCTAATGACTCATTGCTTCATTAGTTGTTAACCGCTGTAGTAATTATTTTTACTGCAAAAACCCAGTACAGAGATATTTCCTGTTAGTAAATTCCTTATATTTTGTTTTCAATGGCTCAAGGATGGTGGATAACTTTTAATTTTCTTAAGAAGTTGCATAATATTACTGTTCTCAATAGTAATACATTGAGGCTGCGTCTACTCACACGATAAGTTGAAAAATGAAGTGCTGAAGACAATTTAAAACCAGTAAAATATGGTTTGAAAAGGCTATAAGATAAGAAAGACCCAGCAGCATTTACAAGTGAATGAAAAATTATATACCTACCTAATGTATGTAAAAAAATAATTAGGCTAGTATGGACTGGAAACTGATTTTAGGTGCTTATTACTGCGCTAAATTAGTAACCTTATGTTTAGAAAACACTTACGTTTATTAAAAAATACTAACTAGGTAATTTTATGAATGTATAGTTTTTCTTAAAATTATTTCAATTCACTAACGTATTCAGTAAATTTTTTATACATAAATAGTGACTAATTCCATGGGTATTATCATTTCGTAATGGATCTGGAACTGCTTCAACCAATCTTTGAAATTGTTGTACAGTTAAATTTATGTTGGATTCTGGAACGATAACGTTGTTAGAAGTTACAATTTCCGGAAAAGATGTGGAATCTTCCACACCATAGTAGTCAGGCTCTTTCCAATATAAACTGTCTTCATCATGTCCACTTCCTTCAATTATGGATGTGTTCCACAGTTGTAGCGGGGATCTACAGTTCATTGTCCTCAGACCGTGGTTATTCCATTGCGACACAAACTCCTTTAATGACTGGCGTATTCTTGGCAAATATACATACGTCAAAGAATACAGATCTATCTCACTAGTTTCATCAATCAAATTTTCTTCTTCCATCATTAAAAATAGTTCTTTGTAGTGTTTGGACACAACTCTATTCACTTCTGACCACAATCTTTCGATACGCTGATTATGCACAGAACGGCCAGTTATGAAACTCCCACGGTTAATGCCTTTCTGAGTCAACATGTATCTGGCTACTGCTACGTTTTCAGTACCATGGTCTCCTCGAACACGGCTTGGCAGACCAAAGTTCTGTACACCCTTTTCAAATAATGAAAGTACAGTGTCAGCTTTATTATTGTGCATACATTCTAGGTATATGATGCTTCTACTGTAACCGTCTATACAACCGTGATATACGAATCGGAAATTTATCAATTTGTGATTGGAGTCTATGTGCCTAAAATACTCAATGTACTCTTGATTTTTATATATTTCTACAACTTACCATAAGTGATTTGCACCCTTTACATTGTAGACTCTACGTTTAATCGTTTTTCTCTTACGCTCTGATCTTCCTAATGGATCTACTTCTTTCAAAATCTCTCGTATGGTAGCTCTAGGTACTTTCATGTTCCGCGCACAAATACTTCCTAAAATATATGTTTCTCCAGCATTTGGAGTTCCCATCATAATGTCCTGTATTATAGATTTTATTTCGTCTATTAAACGTCTCTTCTGTGATGCTATGGGTGTCTTTGACCCGATATAAAGTCCTCCTTGAAATATTCAAAATTTCACTTATTTTCGACCACTTAAAACCTAGTGATCTGAAGTGAAGTACTTGCTCTTTTGTAATGTCATATCTTGGTCTACCAACGTGGCCATCTTTTATAATGGATGTCACCTGAAATAAATAAGATTTTAGTATAGTAGGTAATAGTCAGAAAATCTTTCGTCTTACGGAATTTGATAAAGATGGTGTAAAACTTGCACTTATTAAATCCATTATTGGGTTGGGTCTAACTGATGTAGCAGGTACATTAGAAACTGATTGTATGGAGGTAGTTGAGGCATTATGTTCACTTGTCGCACCTCTTACTGCGTCTTCCAATATATTACGAAGCTGAGGACTTGACAAAATATTAGATACAATGCCATCAACTTGGCGATCCATTGCAAATCTAAAAAAAAATTAAGTATTAGCGGTATTAAAGAAAATTGATTAACAGAACCTACCTGTTAGATTGAAGTGGCCGCGATCCACTAGAACACACTTGCACTTTACTTTACTGAACAGGTGAAAATAACGTCCGAGTTTGGGCAGGAGCACGAGGGAATGTAAATCAACGTAAATTCAATTATTCAAGTCTCACACGTGAATTGTTGTGTTGCTTGTGTTGTGTCAGCTGATCGGCGCGAAATCACGTTACGCCGGCGTCAGTCGCTGCCCGGTGCGCCATCTGGCGGTGAACCACAGGAACCACTTTTTCCTCACATTTGTAGCGGGCACATTTGTGAGGAATTTTGCTTACAAATGTAAATATTTTTTTGAATAAAGTTATAAATAATTTTGATGGAACAAAAATGTGAAATATTCAAAATTATTCACATTTGCGTAAAAATTATTTACATTTGCGCAAAAATTATTTACATTTGCCTAAAATTATTTACATTCACTGATTTTTCACATTTTAATTTTGGCACAAACGGCGTGCCATACATTACCTACTAAATAAATAAATAAATACATAAACACAATACAATATATGTAATTACATGTTAATTTTGGTGTCCAATCTCTGTTGAACTCGAAATGGGGTTGTATGATAATTATTAGGAAGTGAACACAAAACCTTCCCCATACACTTGGAATAATCTTTAATTGTAATGCGACATGTTTCGGCTAACAAGCCATCATCAGGCCTAAAATGTACGATTACAAATTTGTCTCACAAGAGTGATAAAACTTACAGGATGTTATAAATATTAATAATACAAGTTAAAAATTAATCGACCGTGACTCCGTCACATATAAACGGAATAAACTTATCCAAGTAAAACTCTTTTAAAATATCTATGTTGGTGGATCACTCTTCATCTTTTAGGTACAATTTCTTGTATTACGCACTCATGAGGTGTCCATATAACCAAATAACACCTTGTCTCTTTTGGTGCAGTACATGACATTTCGGTCCCGCCGTTTCTCTCGAATTTAAACAATTTTTAAGTAAAAATGGAATCAAATTTATGACCTCACCTCCATATTCCCCCCATTGTAATGGAGCCGCAGAAAATGCGGTAAAGACTATTAAGAATGCACTAAGTAAAAAAACCAATACATTACATAATATAAATCCGTCAATATATTTGACAAGCCGTTGGGGCATAATGAAATGACAATCCATTATGCCCTTGGCCGTCATAGACTGCTTTATAGATCTCATATGACAGATATGTGGCATATAATAGGCAAATGAAAAATAGAATACATTATAAACAATTTTATGATTAACTAATTTATAAACAAGTATACATTTTTGTGTCAATATGTTTGGTTCATTTATGAAACTCTGAACTTTTAATTAATCGTATTGCACTTTGGTTGTCAACTAATAAAGGTGTTGCACTTGTTACATCTTCGCCAATCTCATTAAGAAAACTGCGTAACCATAACACTTCTTGTCAAAGGCAAATAATGAAACGTGATCGATGTTTTTTTAAGTAATTCCAAGGCATATCTGCAGATTTATAGTAAAATGAACCTTTTTATTTTGTCGATTTCTACGGTTTTGAAAAACCGAAAACTATGAGTAATAGTATGTAATAGTATTTTTTCGGTGCTACTTTATTTAGTATGCGATCTACCAAATGTGCGGTTCACATTTTATATGCCGCGTCATTTCTTATCATTTTTGAAGCACAATCGGATGGCAAAATCAAAAATTACCTAGAAATATAAATAGTTGTAAATATTGTCAACGTAAAAAAAATGATTTACATAATATATAAAGTAGCAATATCCATAAGGATGGCAATGAATTTATCATCTTGGAATTACCTAGGTGAAAGTGGAGAACCCTTATATTTCTAGGAATAGAATGTCATTAGATCTCATTAGACCTCAAAGTTATTTACTGATTCATTGTCATTAATAGCTCTCTATTAATTAATACATAGATGAAAGTGAAGCATCCCTACTTTTAGGAACAGAATGTCATTACACCTCATTAGAGCCGAGACCAAGGTGAAGAATTCTTATTTCTAGAAATTGAATGCCATTAGGGCCTCATTAGACATGTAGTTAATTGGAAAGGTCTAGTTTAAAATGTCGGACCGTTTGTTAATTTGTTTAGTCCATATCAAGTGACACTCCAAGATGTTGTTGCGCGATTTTTACTTAAATATCGTCTCTTCAGAGAATACCGCTGTTAATTTTCTTCGTCAACATGAATTATTGGCCGATAATCAGCAAGGGAGTCGATGTGCTCGTTGTGGAGCAGAAATGCAGGAAAAACGCAGAAAAAATCGAAAGGGCGAGTTTGTACCGATTCTCAGATGTCCAGTACGAGGATGCCAAAGTATGAGGTCAATACGCCATGGAAACCAATTTTTCCACTTTACCGACTTAAATGGACGAATTAATTGTCGACTTACGTTATGTGAAATTTTGGAAATGGTATTCATGTTTGTAAGCAAAATTTCATACAAATCGGCGGTTACATTCACTGGTAAAAGTGAAGCAACGATCTGCGATTGGTACAATTTATGTCGGGAAGTTTGTACTGACATAGTTTCCGTCCAACGTCGAGGCAGGTTACAAGGAACTGAGCAACAACCGGTACAAATTGATGAAGCTCGATTTGGTGGAAGGAGGAAGTATAATCGTGGACGGCTACTTCAAGGCGATGCGCCTCCAGAATCGAAAGAAAGTGACGCCGAAGTAGAAAACAACAGGAATCACGGCCGAAGAGTTGATGGACCATGAGTTTTTGGGTTATGCACTCCAAACGAGGCTCGCTACTTTGTTGTAGAAAGACGCGATCGAGCAACGCTATTGCCCATAATACAGAGAGAAGTAGAAGCAGGTTCTACAATTCACTCCGATGAATGGCCAGCCTATGCAAATTTACGCGATCATGGTTTTATACATCGCACAGTAAATCACCAACAAAATTATGTTGACCCCATAACCGGTGCCAATACTCAAAGGATTGAGCGGTCATGGTTAGATGCCAAGATAAAGATTTTGAAAAGTATGCGTGGTACGACAGCGAACCATTTACAATCACATCACACTTGAACCACATTTCATGGATGAAGTTGAGACAACATGAAGATGATAAATTGCTACGGGAGTTCCTTCTGGACTTGAAAATTACCATCGGTCCCGCCCGGCAAGGCAAACCGTCTTCTTCTTAGGCTGCTCAATCGATAAAAATAAATGCTCCGGCTAACTCAAATCGGTGGGCTTTTAACTCTTTTGAAACTGCGTAACAAACCTTGACCTGCCGCCTACCAGTCTTCTGCTTTAACTCCTACTCCTCCCTTTCCTTCCCCTCGTTCTTCGTTAAAAACAGGCACATTGAAACCAAATAGATAATATATTGAAATAAGATTAGCGATACAAACAATTTACAGGGATCTAGCAGTTCTTCTCTTCTCCTTGTAAAAACACTAGCTTAACAATGACAACTAAACTAAATAAAAAATCCTAACAGCTGAGACTAATTTACTCAAGGGGTAGCCATCCTCTACAGTTTGAAAATTGCAACAACAGGTAATCGGTTTTTAATCCAGCATGGGCTGGGACTTATTTAAATAAACACAAAATTTATCCTACTCTTTGGTAATCGTTCATTGGACTTTAATAAACAATCAAATCAAAAATTTTTTTACTATAGCTTAATTACCAAAAAGTGGAATTTTACAGAATATTACAAATTTAATTTAGACTAACCTTTACAACCTTTGTACAGCCGATCTTGTGAACTGCTCTTTCCTCTGGTACAGGGTGGATGTGATGAAACCTGACACTTAGGTCTCTGTGACTTCCTAGGGGGTGGCTTGAATTTAACACACGGAAACAAAAATCCACGGTGCCTTTCCTTCCTCGGAACGAAAGCAAAGTTTAGCGTTTGAACTGAAACTTAGTCCAGGAAATCCTTCGCGTGGCGAGTGGGAGACGGCTAGTTGCCAAAGTTTCTACACAGCACGTGTATTTAATTTTATTTTATTAGTTTATTAGCTTTGATCGCCTGCGGGAGACGGATTTTTTGAGTTAGCGGTACGGCAGAACACAAACTTTTATGATCACTATCCGACGGTAAACCGCGATAGTTCAAAGTATTATTTCACCAGCTCTTCTTGGGGCAAATATCTCTCCGAAACGCAGC